GCAAAAACAATCATAAAATATGGGATTGCCCTATGTCCTGTTTGCAAAAACGATTATAATATATTTGAGTGCCAAAAATCAAAATATAAAGAAAAATGGGAGACTACTAAGAAAAAGAAACTCTGCTTCAGATGTTTTAATTCTAACCATTTGTCAAAAAAATGCAGGAACACAGGAATTTGTGGGATTGACGGCTGTACAGATACTCATAATTGTTTACTGCAAAAAAAAAAAAAAACATCCAAATAAAACAATTTCTGAAGACTTCAAGGAAAAAGACACGATAATAGAAAGTTTTCACACATCGACCATTCAATTTTATTCAAAACACGTCATGAACTGCATATCTCTTAGAACGGTGCCACTTAATCTTCGCAATGGAAATAAAAAAGTTGTGGTAAACGCATTGCTTGACGATGGAAGTACCAAAGCGTATTTGAAATCTGATGCAGCGGCTGAGTTGTGACTGCAAGGTAAAACCGAAAAGATAACTGTAAACATGATAAATTCAAAAATTGATTCTTTTGAAACGATGCCGGTGGAATTCCAGTTGGAATCGTTGAATGGAGAAACAAAAGCTACAGTGAAAGCTTTTTTTTTTTTATTAAGTAGTATTTTATTTTCCAGTAGTAATGGAAAACTTAAAAGCAGTAAATTGGCAAATTTTTCAAAAAGTTGGAAACATCTAAGAAAAATCGAATTCCCGAATATTGGATCAAAACCGAAAATTAACATTCTAATCAGTATGGATTATGCTGAGCTGCGCTGTGCAATTAAGGAAGTGAAAGGAGGATTTTATGAACCAGCGGTTCGACTCACGCCGCTTGGATAGACATGTATTGGCGGTACTGGTGGATCTCTTCAAACCCATTTTAGAAAAATAACTTCTAGTTCAAAGGAAGTAGAAGATGCAAACAACACCAAAAAAAAGTTGTGGGAAATTGAAGACGATGAAGAGATGCAATTTAGAAAAACAAAAACAAGCCCAGAAGACTCTACCGCCCTTAATATGGTAACTAATTAGATCTGTAAAATACAATGGTAAATCAATTAATGATGTTATTTATCAAGGTCCAAAACTTCAACAAAACCCTGTTTCAGTTTTGCTAAGATTTCGAAAATACCCAGTGGCTTTAGCATGGATATAGCAGAAATTTATTAAAAATTGCAATGCATAAAGATGACCAAAGATACCAACGAATTTTATGGAGAAACCTGGATCAAACTGCCGAACCTGAGGTGTTTCAGTTTAATCGACTGGTATTTGAAATCAACTCAGCGCTCAATTTGTAACGCAAGAACACGCAAGAAAATGTGCACGAAAATTTCCTTTCGCTTCTGAAGCTGTTCTTGAAGCAACTTACTTAGACGACACAATAACTTCCGTAGTTGATGGAAAAGTAGGAGTTCAATTATACAAAAAACTCACGCTACTATGGGGTTTAGCAGGAATGTTTGCAAGAAAGTGGTTTTCAAACTTGGTCGAATTTCTTAAGATAACACCAGAAAATGATTGTGCAGAATATATAAGTTTAGATTCTTGAGAATTTACTGCAATAAAAACACTTGAAGTTGTCTGGAAAACAAAACCTGGTTTATTTAGTTTTCATTCTGTTGCAACCGAAGAAAATACGGTATATACGAAACAATTTTTGCTTAAAAAATGGCAACGTTGTTCGATTCATTGAGTTTTTTGGCACCATATATCATTCGAATCAAAAAAATTATGCAAGAACTGTGAATTGATGGAATTGAGTGGGATGATGCAATTCCGGATAGGATTGTAAATAATGTTGATCAATGTTTTCAAGAACTAAAAGATCTCCCAAAAATAAACATTCGATGTTTACAAACAACTTCAACAGATTAAAATCGGTAAATCTATGTTTTTACGTGGATCGATTTTTAACTGTATACTTACGGTGCTTTTGCTTATCAACAATGTTTATATGACACAGGAGAAGTGACCTGTGTGATCATAATGTCAAAAGCCCGAGTAAGTCCATTGAAATCTATTACTATACCAAGATTTGAGTTACTTGGAGCTGTCCTCGGTTTACGACTTGCAGAGAAGATTGTCAAGGCATTGAAACTGGAAACTGGTAACTATATGTTGTGATAGTCTTAATGTTTTATGGTGGATAAAAAGTCAAAAGTTGAAACCATTTGTTGCCAACCGCGTTGAATTTATTTAATTAAAGACTGAACTAAAATAATGGAGATACATACCAACAAAAGCTAATATAGCTGATTTACTAACAAGAGGAACAACAGTTAATGAATAAGAAAATAATAATGTATGGTGGCACGGACCAAGTTTTCTTAATTCTTTAGAAGAAAAATAGCCACAGAATCACAGTGAAGTCACACAAGAAGCTTCAATTGTTGTAAAGAAAAGTCCAGTATTAATGAATTTTTTAGTATCCACTGAAGTAACAAACCAATTTATTGATATAAATAAGTTTTCATGTTGAAAAAGACTTGTCAGGATAAACGGATGGATCCATCGGTTTATAGGAAATTTTCAATTTGAAACAGACTTTCGTAAAAAGGGTGATATAACAGCTGATGAATTCCATGAGAGAAAAAACGAAATCAAAGCTAAAGGTCAAGAAGAAAGCTCTAAAGAAAAATGTAGCAACATTAAAAAAAAAAACAATATCGATGTCAAGCAGAAATCATTTCTTAAAATCTGCAAATTGACGAAGACGGATTATTGCGATCTAGTAGTCAATTGCAAAATGCCCATTACTTACCCTACAATGTTAAATATCTAATCATTTTACCGAGAGGACATATCATAACAAAATTGATTGTTAAACATTACCATGACGAAACTAATCATGTGATGGAAACAAATCAATTATTAAGAAAATTATCGGAACGCGGTTGAGTCATACAAGGCCGAGAAGAAATCCGAGATGCAGAAGCAAAATGCAACAAATATAAATTAATAAGATGTAAACCTGGTCAACAGCTGATGGCCCCTTTACTAGCAATGCGCTTTAAAGAACAACTACGTCCGATCAAAGAGGGGGAAAATGATCGGAAGAAAACCGAATCAGCATAGAAGAAAAACAACATTCCAATACCACGATAGCTATAACCAGTAAATAGCGCCAATATGGCCAACTAAATAACAATTGTATGCCGACTATTTGAATAATAGTGTTTGCTATATGTTTTTGTTATTAAACGAAATTTTTGTATAAATAGAGTTTTGTTGTTGTTGTTTTTCAGAAACAAAAATATAGAAAATACAATTAATGTCCCAGAATGTCGTTTTTAAAACGTTTAAAAGACATTAAAATCCGTTTTAATAAGTTTTTTAAACGTTTTTAAAACGTCTTGTGCTTACTAGGATAGTTAATGTAAAAACAGTTAAGATCTTAAAAATATATATTTTATAATACATATTCGGTATTATTTGTGATCACCATCGGATTATCAGGTCACCATCGGATTACCCAGGAAATATTTCCATAAATTTTATGGAATATTTTATAACATTGATTTTTTATTTAAATAGCGGAATGTATCGCTTTTACTAAAAAAGTCAAAAACATTTCTTCGATGAAGTAACTTTTAACAGTATATACTGTTGAAAGTTACTTTATCAAAGAAATGTTTTTGACAATTTTATTCTTCATAATTTTTTATTATTTATTATTATATTTTTATTATTCTTTATTATTTTTATTCTTTATATTTGACATTTCTATTCTTAAACGTAAGTATTTACAAGAAAATTACTTCTTGATAGATACGTATCTATCAAGAAAAAATTTTCTTAATAAATACTTACGTTTAAGGATAGAAAATGTGATTAACCATCGAAAATTATAAATTGTTTGCAGAAAAGCTAACTGACTTTCCAGCGTGGAAAAAAAATCTTGTTACTTGCTTAATTTTCTTGTCTTTAACTACCCGTGTCTAAAACCGCCTCCTCTTTTATTAAATTAATAAATCCCTTATTTTATTTCGAAAAAGCTGCCGTGCTCTTTGTAATATAATACCGTGATTTTGTTTTGCTTTTACTATAATTTTCACTTTTTTTTTTTAATTATCATTGCGAATTATATTATTACTTTTAATGGAAATTTTATTGATATAAATTATTTATTAACTTTTTGCTCGTTAAAACAGTTTCTTAATTTTATCTAGTGAAAAAAAAAATGTTAGAGGCTTTATTTATTATTTTAAATTCACGTTGTGCATAACATTTGGTTTTTTAAAAAGCAAAGTTTGTGTACGAAGTCAATATTTTAAGGAAGTATCTATGCTAATATTTATATCCGCTCCAATCTTTGTAAAGCACTCGCTAGGATTAGTCGATATGTTTAAATTAATAATAGTATAGATTTCTTTGCACGTTAAATTTCTTGATTTGATTGCGGTTTTCTTTTAGAAGTTGCTATTCTTTTTCTTATTAAAAGTTTTGCTTAGTAAATAATAAAAAGCGATTTTTAAATTTGTTTTTTAATATTAACTTTGTAATTTTTTGGCTTTAACTTTGACAGTGCAATGCAAGCTATTTTCTTGATTTGAAAATTTTGATTTTCTAATGTAATTTTTATCAGTTATAATGATTGTAACCGATAAAAAAAAGATTAAATAATATGTATTTGTGTGATTAAAACTAAGCTTAATAATGAGTTAGACAATGAGAAAAACGTTACTACGAAAAACCATCAAAAAAATAATGAACGAATTAATGACGTCAAGTTAAGGAAACAATAGGCGCTAAAACTTTAAATTTACATACAGTGTTTGTTTTTTAAAACATTTTAAATTTACACTTAATATTTAAAATTACGAAAAAACAGTGCAGTGTTTCTAGTTTTTTTTCAAAATTTTGAATTATTTTCGATAATCATTTTAAAAAGGAAAGAAATTAATATAACAACAATTTTTTTCATTGAAGCTATATGGCTTATACAATTATATGATTGGTTAAAGATTAGTTTAAACAACTTAACTACGATTTATTTAATTATAGCAGACTATTATTATTTTTGTTAGTAAATTATGTACTGACTAATATTCACTAAATAACTGTATTTGTGAATGAATTTTTAAGAATGTTTCTATAAATGGCTTTTATTGTATCACAGGTATAGGGTTACCAGATTTTGCTTGGAAAAAAAAACTGTTTGAAAAAGAATCATATGAAATCAGAATCAATTTTCGGTTTATTACAGGTTGTTTTTTTATATTTTTAATATATTCAAATGAATATAATTAATTGACATCAGACATAAGAAATTTTTTCAGAGTCCCTAAGCAAAAAAAAAAACTTAATAAACCTAAGCAAGTACCACCTAAATTAATTATAAAGGTCATTTAACTCCTCCTATTTTAAATTACGGAAGTTAAAATATAAGGAGTTAATTATGCTATTTTACTAATTTTATTTTTATGCATAAAAATTACTTTTTTCTTTTTTTTTTAACTGTTTTCAGTAAAAAAGAACTGAAACTATAGTATAGTATGTTAGATCTGTTTTAAATTTTGTGGCATAAAAATAAAAAACATAGTCACTGAGCTATTTTTTTATAAAATTTAAAGTGCCCTGTAGGGTTGTTTACCATGCTAAACTTTTTCAGAACTCTGCACATTTAAAGTTTTTTCCTTCTATCATCTAATTTGAATATTTTTTTTTTTTTTTAAATTCTAATAATTGCCCCAAGGGTCCTTCAAAGCTTTTAAATATTTAATGGATCCCTGATATTATCAAAAAAGAATGTCAGCCTGGATCTCAAATAGACTTTTAATAAAGTTTTAAAAATAATGTTCCTTTAATTGCATAAAAACTTCAAATTTTTTTTATAAAAATGAATAAGTTTATTTTTTTAAAGACATTTTTAATATAAAATTATTATTTATGCTGAAATTTTTATATAATTTTGCTTCTTTTGAGACCCAGATCTCAAAAGGTATACTTAAGAAGAAGTTTTTTTATTGGCAGTATTAGGGGTTTATCTACAAATAAACATTTTTTAATTCCTACCTATGGTAGCAGATGCAGTATTTTTTTTTTATGTTTGAATAAAGAAAAAATTAAAATGCATTAATTTTTAGAACTTTTATCATATAATGCTCAATATAATTGCGTGTGTATATAAAACTCTTCAGTGCACCTTTTTGTAAACTCTATTTACTATTCCACTTTTCTAAATATTGAAGAAAAGTTTACAAAGGTACACATTGGAATATACTGTTGTCATGGTAATTTAATGTAAAACTATATCTCTTATGTGTAAAAAACAAATTTTTTAATGAAGCTTAAACTGATTAAATCATCAATCTTAAACAACTCCAAAAAACAATTAACAAACAAAAGACGAGTCTTGTTTCAATAAACATAGTTTTAATAAATTTTTAAGTTTTAATAGAATATAGTAGTGTCTACATAAGAGATATTAGTGGATTTTAGAAATATCTTTTAATTGAAACGCTGATACTACTAGTACTTAATGTGTGTCAGTACATGTGATATTTTACTAAAATATACGCATATTTGAGCACTTAAAAAAAAATCTTGTATCTTTGACACATAGATAATACCAATAGACAGACAACAATTTCAATATCTATATTTGATATCTCTTCCAGCATGTGTTACCTTAGCTAGTCCCTGACATTTAATTTGCTTATGTTTAACATAAATTCTATAAGTTTTTAAATATTTCATTTTATTCCTATTTTAATAATTTTTAAAAATGTTGAGTTTTGTTATTAACTTTTATTAAATGTAGATAATTTTTATTTTCTAGTTTAACACTAAGATTTTAGTATTTCAACTAAGAACTTCTGTTGATCTTCTTAAGCTAAGTATATTGCTTCTTTATTAAAACTTTTATTTTTCTTATTCAACAGGTAATTAATTTTGATTATTCTGTAAACAGAATAAGCAGGGTCTTTTACAGAAATTTCAAGCCCAGAGTAATATGGAATATTTTGATTTCTGTGTTCTTTTTCTCGAATAGTTGTATTTAGTCAAATTGAGAAATCTATAAAAAATAAAGATAAGTTCATTGTTTCACACCTTTCAGTTCTACATGGTTTACAAATGGAAAGATACTATTAAAAATCAAAATATGAGAGATTCTGTTAAAAATTAATGAGTTTAAGCTGTGAGTTTAAACTCCTTTTTTAATATATTTTAATATAAAAAATTTTTCCACCTGGAGGCTGCATCTATATTCTGATTCAAGACTGAATCTAAATTCTGATTTACTTTTAAAACCACCTACAGTTTTGCACTGATTTAAAATCTGTATTTTTTGCATGTTTTTAGATTAATGCGCCTTATGTTAAAAATTTGTTTGTGGTAACAAAAATTATAATCTTAACTTTTTTGACAATAATAAGTGACTCTAACAACTTTGAAGTTAACTTAAGGAGGTTAGATAGCAAATTGAAAGTGCAAAAATTCTGTTATATTTTTTTTAGTATTTTAAAAAAGGAACATGATTTAGCACAATATTTAATATAGTATAGTTTGAAAAAACATTTATTTTTAGAAAACAAAAATTTAGAAGTAAAAAATATATAAGCTAAAATTACTAAATTTAATATAAATAATGATAATTGTTATTTAAGGAATGCCTGACATTAGAAAGCTTTTTGACTTTTTGAAATAAAAATCTCTTTTTCAATAAAATTAAAAATAAAAGAGAGTAAGGGCAATTTTTTGCCACTTAAAAATGCAAATGAGGAAACATGCCAAGTTATTAAAAGTATCTCTTTTGGTTTGATTGTTTCCTAAAGCTATTTTATTTGTTATTGTGATTGATTTAATTTTTTTAAAGAATATTTATAAGTTTAATATACTTTTAAAATTTATAAGTTAATTATACTTTTGCAACATTTTTTTTTCAAACTTGTAAATGCTTTTCTTGGATTTTTTTGTTTTGTTTTGTTTTGTTTTGTTTATTATTTCTGTCTAGAACTGCTTTGTTAGTTATTATTATTAAGAATTTATTTGCATTTTCTACACATAGTTTATTTAAATATTTCTGAATAACTGTATTTGAAAACAGATTTTTTTTTTTCCTATTTCAAAGGAGTGTTATGTTTTGAAACCTTGTCTATTCTAAATAATAAATTTAGTATGGCATAAACAGTATAGATGTTGAATGCATAACTGACTTGTCAGAGGTTTACAAAAAGAAAATTGCAATAAATAAAGTGAAACTACATTTAAGATAGATTGTTAAAAGAGATTGTTGCTACCAGCAATCAAATTCTTTAACAATGTATTCAAAAACAACTGAAACAAATATTTATCTAAAGTTTGCTTTTTGTAAATTTTTTTACAAAAATTTATTTTTATAGTTAAACATGTTTAGATAAACAAATTGAAGTTAAATATATATAATTTTTTTTTAGATAAAAATGCATGACTTGGAGTGAAAATAAGATGGATAGTCTTGACTTTGATAGCATAAAAGTAACTAAAAACTCATCTCAAGCAGTCAGGTATTATATTTTGAATGTTATCTTTTAAAAGACAAAACATGAAGAAAATCTAATATTATTGTCACTAAAAACTGTCTACCAAGTAGTATTTAATGAATTGTATCATTGATATAAATAAAAAGTAATGCAAAAGTTGAACCTTGTGGTACTTCAGAGGCTACTGGAAATGAAGTTGTCCATTTAGTATGACTTAAATTTTAGAATTACTGGAAATGAAGTTGTCCATTTAGTATGACTTAAATTTTAGAATTAAATTTTAGATTTAAAGATTGAATGATTTAACAATTTTATGATATTCCCAGATACACCATTGATGATATTCCCAGATACACCATAGGATAATTCTCTATGAAATCATCCATAAAAAAACTTTTTTGACACCCTTACTTCTCAGAATTTGTTCATTTTTACCTCACTTGCAGTCCATATTTAAAAAAATAATAACTGCAAAAATTTTAGTTAAAAGTACACATGGGTTCCAGAGATATCGTCAGTTAAAATATTCAGCATTTTACTCAGCATTTAAGTGATTATCTGAAACGACTACAAAGCAACTTTGACATACAGTATCTTCATAATGGCTTGGTGAAATTTCCTTAAACTTAGTACCCCAATAGATTTTTACTTGCAGAATCCAAAAAGAGCACTCTCAAGATTCAATTATCTCAGGAAATGTCTTGTTTATCCAATTTTGTTCAAAATTATTGGCTTGTAAATTCATGATTTTTGGAGCTAAAATAAAGACTGTGGCCCAAAATTCTGAATAAAAAGTTTAATTGTATATCATTATTTTACCTTACGTCTACTGAAAAAATTGGATTCATCCATTGTCTCTCTAATACTTGATCAAAATTTGTGTTTAAAAATTGTCTTTTTAGAAAAATTTAAATTTTAAATTAAGTTTAAGCAATTGAAATGTTTTTTAAACCATTTATTTGAATGAAACATTAAATAGTGTTATTTATAGATTAGTTCAGGACCTTTATAGTCATAGGCCAAGGGAGGGCCAGGGGGTCTCTGACCAACTTTGCCCCTTCCTTTCTCCCTAGATTTTTTTTTTTTAATGCATTAAATGATATAATAATAAATTATTATTAAAATTCAATTTAAAAACATAATTTTTTTTTTAGTTTTAGTTTGAGAAACAATTTTCTTTCATTTTCGATTCAAATCCGTAAATGCTTACCTCTTATTATATAATAAGAGGTAAGGTGATATAATCAAAAACAAGCAAATGTTTTGTTCTTTTTAAAAGTTGTACTTTATTTGTTTGTATTTTCTTAAAGAATGATTGTGAATTTTATTGTTTTTGTATTTTTCTGGCAGGTAATATTATAAATAATAAACATATTTAATATGGAGAAGTGTGACATTGGAAAAAGCCTTAACATTCATTTTCACAAAACTGGACTTTCTAGAAAACAAGGTTTTGTTCAATTTCTTTATCAACAGAAATAAAAAGCCCCATTTCAAACAACAACATTAACAATAACCATGATCTAAACATTAATGTATGAAATAAATAAAAAATTTCAGAGACTGACTCTTATTGCCATAAAATACAAATGTTAACAATCACACTAAAATCATGGACACGTACAAAGATATCAAGCTACTTTGAAGTGTCTGAGTATCTTGTTCGAACTGTAAGAAAATTTAAAAATGAGCATGGAATTCATCATTGCCAGGAAAAAAAAAAACTGGAAACCCACTTTCACCAGAAACAGTTAGTTTAGTGATTAACTTTTATCAGAGTGATGAATTTTTGAGAATGATGCCAGGAAAAAAAGATTTTGTAAGTGTTAAGAAAAACTAACACGTTCAAAAAAGATTAATGCTACTCAATCTTAATGAATTACATGTTGCATTTAAAAAAGACTACCCTAATGTCAAAGTAAGTTTGTCAAAGTTTTGTACTCTTAAATTTAAATGGTGCATTACAACTAATGCACCGGGTACTCATAATGTATGTGTATGCATACATTACTAAAATGCAAAATTTCTAATTGATGCCATTAGGTGGAATAAAAGTTGTAAAGATTTCATGGTATTGATTGTTTGTTTGCTTGAAAATGCAGAATGTATGTTGCATCGATGTAGCTAATGCCCTGGTATTAAAGCATTAAAAAGTTTTTTAGTGCAGGAGTTTATGGACCATGAGATTGAAGAAGATGTAGCATTCAAGCAATGGCAGAGTACCAATCGTACAACACTATTATTACAATGATTGCCACTAATTGAATTTAGTGATTTATTATGTGACAGCATTGACAACCTTACCACTCATTCATATATTGCAAAAACACAAAGTAGATACTTGAAAAACTGTAAAAAAAATCTTAACCAAAATGAAAATTTTAGGAGAATTTGCAAAAAATTATTAGTTGTTCAGGATGAGGTTTAAAGTTATCACTGGAGTAAAAGTCAATGTTCACTTTTTATAATTATACTTTATTTTATAGAGAAAAAAGTTCTCAAACAAATCTTTTTGTTACCTTTCAGAAAGATTTATTTACAAGACTCAGGAAGATATAACTAGATATATCAAAAATCTACCTGATGTAACAAGTGTGAAATGCTTTTCCGATGGTTGTGCAGCACAATTTAAAAATTTTAAAAACTTTATCAATTTTTATCATCACAGTAAAGACTTTGACTTAAATGCTGAATGGGTATTTTTTGCTACCAATCATGGTAAATCCCCCTGTGCTGGTATTGGTGGGACTTAAAAGATTAGTATATCAAGAAAGTCTAAAATAAATAACTACGGGGCAGATTTTAGATGTTAATTTAATGTAATCCTTTTGTAAAGCCAAGATAAAGAAAATTTTTTTAAAATTATTTTCTAAAGATGAAATCGACCAAACACGAACACAATTAGAAAAAAGATATTTAGATGGAAGAACAGTTCCTGGCACAAGGATGTATCATCATTTTATTCTAATCGCTTCAAACACTATAAGTTATAAAAAAACAAGTATTGATACATGTATTGAAGTATTTGATATCATTCCAAAAAGCAAACATACAGAGATTTCATTGAACATTAAAAAAATGGATTATATTGCATGTTTTTATGACTGATTTTGGTGGGCAGGGATTGCTGAAGATGTGAGTGAGCTTGATATAAAAGTCAGATTCATACATCCACATGGACCAGGTAAAATGTTTTTTTTGGCAATGAGAAATGACGAGTGTTGGGTACTCAATTCTGAAGTTATATACCTAATTTCTACACCCACAACAATATCAGGTTGTACGCACAACATATCTGATTTAGATTTGGAGAATACAAGCAGATGGTTACAAAAAAAAATTAAATACATTTCAAATAATTTTTTTGTAATTTTATTTACCTATTTTGCATTTAGAATTTATCTTTCTTTTTTTATTTTTTTCAAATTCTTAGATGGAAGGCTGAGAAGGAGGGGGGTTTTAATAAATCCCACTGTCTACCTTATTATGTCAATGACTATATTAGTATTAATCTACTTAATAATGCCATAAAGATATTGATTGTTAAAATGTTTTAAAAAACATTTCAATATTTTTGGTTTTAAAATTTATGATTTTTAAAATGGCGAAAAAATAGTGAGGTAAATAATGAAAAAAAATTGTTTCTCAAACTTAAACTAAAAAAAAGTTATGTTTTTAAATTGAATTTCAATAATTATTTATTATTATATCATTTAATGCATTAAAAAAAAAAAAAATCAAGGGAGATGGGGGAAAGGGCAAAGTTGGTCAAATGCCCCCTGGCCCTTCCTTGGATTATGACTATAAATGTCCTAAACTAATCAATAAATAACACTATTTGATGTTTTATTTAAATAAATGTTTTAAAAAACATTTCAATTGCTTTGTTACAAAGTTTAATTTTTTCTAAAAAGACGCAATTTTTAAACACAAATTTTGATCAAGTATTAGAGAGACAATTGATTAATCTAATTTTTTTCAGTAGACATAAGGTAAAATAATGATATACAGTTAAACTTTTTACTCAGGATTTTGGGCCACAGTTTTCATTTTAACTCCAAAAATCATGAATTTATAAGTCAACAATTCTGAACAAAATTGGATAAACAAGGCATTTCCTAAGACAATTGAGTCTTAAGGGTGCTCTTTTTGGATTCTGCAAGTAAAAATCTATTGGGGTACTAAGTACTAAGTATAATCAATTAAATGCTGAGTAAAATGCTGAGTATTTTAACTGACGATATCTCTGGAACCCATGTTTATTTTTGCAGTTATTATTTTTTTAATATGGACTGCAAGTAAGATAAAAATGAACAAATTCTGAGATGTAAGGGTGTCATGAGAGGCTACTAGAAATGAAATTTACCATTTTAGTATAACTTAAATTTTAAAATTAAATTTTAGATTTAAAGATTAAAACAGATTTAATAATGTTATGATATTCCCAGATACACCATATGAACAGAGTTTATAGAGAATACCAGCTTGCTAGACTCTATTATGTCTTAGATATGTCAAATGTAATAGCCTTTGGGTCATTCCGTGCCAAGTGGTGCAAATTTTAATGAGGTCCCTCATTGACCATCTCAGATTTTATTGAAATTTTTTGATTTTGTACATATATATGTAAAAAGCATGTTTTGAAAATTTTAGATCAATATATAATATGGTTCTTGAGAAAACGCTAGTAGTGGGCTATTTTGCATAAAATTTCACTCTACAAGGAAAAAGGTTTTTTTCATCATTTTTAACAGCCAATAACTTTTGAACAATTTAGTTTTATACTTCAGTTATTATAAGATAGCAAGTGTGCTGTAGATGCTTTGGAAAAAGAAAAAAAATTTAATTCTGGCATGTTAACTTTTTCTATAATGGCGGGCTAAAATTAAGATTTTTGTTTTTAAAATAATTTTTTTTGTGATTTTAATGATCTTAATCTTAAAAACTAGTTAAAAGAATATTACAAATCAAATTACCTGCTGATCTACATGTGGTGGATAAACATTTAAAAAAAAATCAGTTGA